GGCTCGCCGCCCTCCTCACAGCACTCTGGCAGCCGGGGAGAGCGGAGAGCCCCAGCCGGGCTCTCCGCCCTCCCACCGGCGCTCTGGCCGCTGGGGAGAGCGGAGAGCCCCAGCCGGGCTCTCCGCCCTGCTCCCGGCGCTCCGGCCGGTCGGGGATTGTGGGCCCGCTGCCGGGCTTGGCGCCCTCCCCTGCCGCGCTGGGGGGCGGCAGGTGGCTTTTTTGCCTAGGGCGGCAAAAAAGCCAGAGCCGGCCCTGGTCCCTTCCCAAACTCACACCACACAGCTCACTGAACAACAGATGGTGATGACTTTTGGATGGTCACTACCAGCCAGTGCTGGATCTGAACCTGCTCAGAGGTGAAAGGTTTTGTACCCCCAGCCCCTTTGCTATCCCGTCCCTCCCTGTGTGAGCCCCGTAGTAGCTGTTATTATACAGAGGAGGGTGAGATGGGAAGAACTTACAGGCTGCTCCCTGCCTTCAGCAGTGGGAATTTGGAAGGATGAGGATGATCCCCTGACAGGCTCCAGAACAAGTTCACTTTGTGTTATCAGAGAGGCACCAAACAGGGGAACTTCAAGGGTTAGCTCATCTGTATGTCTCCAGGTCCTCTGAGCCGCCTGCTTCTCTGCATCCTCCTGGCTTTTGGTGCTCATGAACTCGGCCTGGGTGGAAAACTTCTGCAGGTCTAGCTCCGTGCACTCCACTGGGGCATGGGGCCACCTAGGATGCATCTCTGAGGCACATGATGAGAGGGGAGTTTGGGCCTCTGTGAACCCAGCTGTGCCCTGCCTGGCATCTGAGGATGACGGGCCCCCTGCAGAACAGTCGCTGGACCCTGAATTCCTTATCAGGGGTTGGGTCTCCAAGACGCTCCTCGCCAGCTGGGATTTGGGATTGGGGCTGACAGCAATCGCTTCCAAATTGGGCTGGAGAGCAGGGATCTGCAGGCCTATGGCTTCACCATTCGAAATGAACTGAACCGGTTCAACGGGACCTGGAACCAGAAACTCCATGCTTAAAAGTATGTGGGTTTCCCTTCCACCAGCCTCTCCACCTGCTGAGGATTGGGCTCCCTCCTGTCAGCCACTCCTTAAAAACCCAATTTCCCACGAGGCCCTGCACTGCCACTGCCTGTCTCCAGCTGCAGAGGAACAGACAGGACAGGGCTACTCAGTGCCCGCGAGGTGGCAGTGAGCACTACTGAGCAAAGCAAGGCTCCCCGCTCTTCCAGGGGTCGATCACCAGCCCTCCAGAGTCACCCCCACTGCACAGCCAAGCACTCTCTCCTCCCCAACCCACACATCCCTAGGAGAGAAAGACACTGAAGCTGGAGGAGTGGAACCTACATGTTCCCAGTGCCAGTGCAATGTCTTCTGAGTTCAGAATCCTCCCCAGGCTTCCACCTTTCACCCAGAGGAAGCTTCCTAGTGGCACTGTGCTCTGTCCACCTCGATTATCCCAGTGTCTGACCACACGGCAGCAGCGATTTTGACACCTCCCTCCCCCCCCACCATGGGGTGCTCCTTCCTGCCTGAGGAATGGAAACTGAGCAGACATTAGGGTGTGGGGGTCACAGCCCAGCCTGCCCTTCCCCCCAGACCCAAGCTAAATCAGCAGAGCAATGAGAGAAGTTACCTTCTGCTTGCCCGGAGCAAGGGCTCAGGTTCTTCACACCCAAGCAGCAGGGACTAGACATCTGTTCCTCACAGGGAAACCTGCTTGGCATGGCTGAGTCCCGGAACATCACCCTCTGGGCCGAGAAACTCTGGGTCCTCAGAAACACTTTAAAGGATAAAGAACAACTGATACCAGCGAAGACCTGGCTTGTTTTCCCAGAATGCACTAGGCCATCTAGTATGGCTATTTATTTGGTGACTGTAAAATTCAGGAGCAATCAGGCTTCACTGCCTGGCATGGAGAGGGCTAGTGCTGTGCACTGTTCCCCATGCAGCTGTGCCAATGCACCTCAATCGTATCTCTCTAACCTACTCCTCCTTGCTGTTTTCCTCATCCTCTTAATTGCTTCATCCTCTGCTGCTCCAGCCCTGGCCCCCTCACCTCCACAACTGCCAAAATCTCCTCAGTCTTGACCCAACCTGGGAAAACCCTAGAAGAGAAAGCACTAACCTCAAAAGTGATAACCTCACTGGCCCCATCTGGCACTCTGTTTGAATCTGAGCCCTTACATCCTCCTCCTCTTCCCTGCTATTTCTAGGGAAGAAGGGGCAGGGGAAGGAGGACCAGAGGGATGCTGCATTGCATTCACTCACCTTGCTGACACTGGCTCTTCCAGAAGCGCTTGCAGCAGATGATGGCGAGTGCCAGCAGCACCAACACAATGATGACTAGCGCACTGCTGGTTAGCACTAGGAGGGCGGTGTCCTGGGGAGGTACTGTGGGGATCACTACCTTCACCAGGGTAGTCCTGGAGCTGCCTGCAAACATACCAGCCAAAGAA